TACCAGAGAAATTCGTTTTTACAAGCAACAAAATCAATTTAAAGAAAGTCAGACTACACCTCGTGAAGCAGACATCGAAGGAGTCATCGATGAGCATCTGTCGCGAAGTCTCAGCGTGAGCGTCTCCTTTCTTAGTCAATACCGAGAAATCGGAGCTCCCTGGAATCCTTCCCTCCGCGTTCCAAGTGCTCTGTCCATGCCTGACCAGAACCACTCTCTTCGACGCTCTAATTGGAGGAAACGGAGCCGAAGCGTAAAGTTCCGAGCTCAAATCATTCCCCTCTGGTGATTCCACCGACTTCGCGGTCTCTTGCTGTAAGCTCGATGGTAATCGATTCGTGACGCGAGGACAAGGATTCCAATTCCAACTGGCTGCGTGGAGGAGAAAACGGTTGTGGAAAACCAGGGGCTGCGTGAGTGAAACCATTTAGAAGTGCTTTCTGGTTTCCTTTTCGCGCTAAATCTCTAGAATTCCTCTGATTTTATTCATCTTCTCTCTCCTTTTTTTTTGCTTCCTGAAATTATTATTATTTTTTTATGGTGACCGTTGTTTGGTTTCTTCCATATCTGTTTATCATATCATTGGTGATTTCATAATTAGCCATTTTTAAATTGCATATTATAATGTAATTTTTTTACAGATTATATTAATCTATGATGTAAATGACTTTTTTATTAAAAACAATTTATTATTAAATTAGAATTTATCTCTTAATTATACAATTTATTCATAAATAAATAATTTAATCTGTAATAATAATAATAATAAGATTAAGATATTACAGGTTAAATAATAATTTAACATATTTATAAAATCATTATAATATGCCTAGATGGTAAATTTCACAAACTTTGTAAATTTCTTTAAAATTTGGGGGATTAATCATTTTACTACTTCTCACACCCATGAACAAAATAAAACAGTTGAGTATAATATTTCAGGAGCAACAATAAATCCTCGAAAAAAAATTGAATTCAATTCCAATTCTTTAAATTTCTTTCTTATCAATATTAACATAGTATTTCTTGATCGAATAATTCAATCACGATGAATCTAATTATTGAGACATCCCTTTTACACCCAACAATAGTCAGTATGGAAAAGTTTGTGTGCATGAAAATCAATTATAGGCGTAATTAACCACTTTTTTATTGTTCGAAATGCCACAAATCATGCACCATGCATCCTCCGTTTTGACATCTACCACCTAAACATGTAGAATTCTCGGTATGTAAACATTATCCTAATAATTCACATGACCAACAATCCTAGTCCCCGACTCACTTTAATCAATATGTCTCTTATTCTTATAAATTCAAGCACAATCTTCCCTCTAATGCATTAAAATGTTTCTTAGTTGTTTTAAATGCCACAATTTCTACTTATAACAATCTTGTACCTCTAACTTTTAAAAATCATGACCTTTTTATATTTCTCAACACATTTAACTGATGGAAAATTTGACATTCCCTTTCAACCTGCTATAAAAAATGTAACACTTATTGGGACTACTATAAATCACCTATTTAATAGTAGACCAAAGCAATAAATTTTTTTCTTTTTCTTGTTATTGCATGAAATTATAATTATAAATATTCTAAGTCAATTTCTTATTCTTTATCACTTCCCACGAGAAAGCCTTCCTCTCTTTTAACTCCTAAAATCCACCATTTTACCCTCAAAGTCTTATCTCATTTTTCAACTAATATTAATGAACTTATTCCACTTATCATCCATATATATCTCTATATACCTAAAATCTTTTTTTAAACGTTAATTCATATATGAACTTACTCTTATACCAATCACCACGACATTTATCTTAACTTCTATCCACCACTAATTTTTCCCTCAACCTAAGCTTATCCCAGAGTATATTTTATAGATTTATTGGGTATAAAAAATTTCTTACCAGCAAAATTAGGGCTTTACATTTTTAAGCTGGGTTGCCTATTTGTTTTTGGGGTAAATGTGTTCTAACAACTGTATATCTTATCAATTACACACCTACATCACTCTTATACGATAAAAGGCCTTATGAACTGTTGTTTTCCACCAAACCATATTATTCTTATCTTTGCATGTTTAAATGTTTATGTTATGCATTTGTCTTACCTAAATCACCTAATAAATTCGATGAACATGATGTACTTTGTATCTTATTGGGCTATCATTATGGTCAAAAATGGTGCAAACTATATAATCTTAAAACTCAGTCACTCTTTGTATCATGTGATGTCACCTTTTATGAATCAATTTTTTCCTTCAAAATCCAACCCCTTCCTCCGTCGCCACAATTTATTACACTCATTCCCCTACCTATTAGTGAAATTGATTCCTCAGAACCCCACTTAATAGATTTAACACCCACCTCCACTACATAACCTATTGTTCATTGACCAACTCGTATCAAGAATTTACCTCACCATTTTCGAGATTATCATGTTGATTTTCCAGGTTGTAATAAAGTTTCTCCTAATGCTACTACTAACACAACTTCATCAGGTACTCTTTATCCTCTCTTTTACTTTGTTACTTATGATAAATTCTCTCCTTCACACATTTATTTTTTTGCAACCATCACATCCCATGATGAGCCTAAGACTTATAAACAGGCTGCTATTAACCCAAAATGAAAAGATGTTATGAAATTTAAATTAGAAGTCGTTGAAAAGAATTAAGCATGGACTCTTAAACAATTACCGCTAGAAAAGAAAGTCATCGATTATAACTGAGTATATAGAATTATATACAACTCTGATGGTTCCATTGGCATATTTAAAACAAGGCTCGTCACAAAAGGGTATACTCAAATTGAGGGATTGGATTATAATGAGACTTTTACCGTGGTTACAAAATCACCATTGTTCGCACTCTTTTAGCTGTTGTTGCTACCAGATATTGGGTTGTTCATCAACTTAACGTTCAAAATGCTTTTATTCATGGTGATCTTTATGAAGAAATTTATATGTAACGCCCACAAAGTTATTTGCCATCTATTGATAAATGGGTTTGTCGACTTTAATGCTCCTTCTATGATTTTAAAAAGGCTTTATGATAATGGTTTTCTAAATTCTTTAACGTTCTTCTCAAATTTGGCTTCACTCAATTTAAAGCTGATACATCACTATTCTCATACAAAAAAGATAATATTTTTGCAGCTATTCTTGTTTATATGGATGATGTATTTTTTACATCCAATTATCTATCTATTCTTTCATGTATTAAATAATTTTTGGCAACATGATTTCTTATCAAAGATCTTTGCACACTTAAATACTTCTTAGGCTTGGAGGTTTCTCGCAATTCATAAGGTATTGTCTTATCTCAATGCAAGCGTACCTTATACATCTTGGCTGAAACTGGTATGTCTGGTTCGAAACTATCTTCTTTTCCTACTGAGTAAAATTATCGTTTGGCCTTAGATGATAGCTCATTTCTTGAAGACCCTACTTTATTAAGAGAATTGATAGGTAGACTTTTTTCCCTAACCATTACTCATCTTGATATTTGTTATTCAGTGTACATTCTCTCTCAATTTATGCACAAGCCACGCCAAAATCATTGACACGCTTCAATTTGTATGCTTCACTATCTCAAACAGTCTCATGGCCAAGGAATTTTACTACCCTCACATACGAATCTCCAATTAATTTTTTATTGTGACTTGGATTAGGCTAGTTGCTCGCTAACAAGGAGGTCCCTTACTAACTATCACATTTTTCTTGGTTCTTCCCCTATATCTTGGAAATACAAGAAATAAGTCATTGTTTCTCGCTCATTCGCCAAAGCTTTGTACAGGTCTATGGCCTCCGCTGCTTGTGAGATTACATGGTTAAAGCAACCGCTACTCTGTCATGGATCATACTCCGTCTTATAGTGTAATGACTGGAGCATACTTACTTAAATCATATAAACTCAACTCAAGTAAAATAATTTAACTTTATTAATTATAACAGAGTCGTAGAAATATTACATCCTTTAAATGTAAAACATAAACATATATACGAGACTTTAAATTTTCTTTTTACATTATAAAATAAAAGTATAAAATAATAACTTTAATATCAAAGTCTAGCTTAAAAATTTTTTCTCCATATCGTCACTCACTCTACAACGGTATCTTCAATATTTGGAGAGTAATTGAGGGTGAGATAAAATATCCCAATAAGTAATGTTATGAAATTACAGTATAGTATATACAATATATAGTTTTTTTTTACATACAACAAAAACATATATCATTTACTTTTTTAAAAAAATATAAATATAAATTAGAAGACGAATGTACAAATCAAAAAATAGATTTACAATTGTTTCGTTGTATATGAACATTATTATAGAGGATCAATTAATTATCATACATTATGTGTAAGCATACATATTTATCACTAGTTCTCCATATACCCGAACACATAACGACATACATGAGTACCTTAAAATACTACTACCCTCCGAACACGGAACAGTTAGGATACGCAGATCAGACTACTTTTTTATATACCCGAACATAGAATGATTATATATGAGTACATACTTATCACTTCGCCAATACATCTAAACTCGGAACAGTATGTATGGTCACATTGAAACCTAGTATAATGCAGGTGCTTTCGGAATAATTTCTTTCCATAATGAGTGATGCATATATATTAAAATCATATTTCGAAAACAAAAAATAAAATAACACTTATATCAAAGTAAAACTTTAACACATACTTACTTAGTAAATATGAAAGACAAATCGAACACTTATATATTTTTATACTAAAAATACGTAAAATACTTTAAAACTATATAAGTTATGAATTCATAATATATACTTACTTTAGATTCTTAGCAATCGTAATCTTAATTCCAGCAGAGTTTTAACTTTATTGATGACATTTTCTTCTCATAAATTTGACAGAGTTTCGAGATAATATTTGGTCACTTTCTTGATTAAAAAATATCCAATACAATACTCAAAATTAATCCTAAAAATTAAAGAGAAACAAAACTTTAAAATTTAAGAAAAGACTTCATTTTCTAACAGTTTATAACATTTTTTTGACCATGAACTTTCTTCCTTTTTTTTTTCATCTTTCTTTATTCTTACAAATTTAACAAAATTTTTTCAAAATTTTTATCTAAAACTTCACAATACTCTCAAAAATTATCTATTTCGTACTCATTATTCTTCTCTCACCTCTGTGCTTCTCACTATTTTTTTCTCATCTGGAATATTTCTTCATCTATTTTCTCATATGCTATTTATAGGAGTGGAGAACCACGAGAGAAAGGTTGTCATCATTCTGTCATGTCACTTTATCTAAAAGTTGTTAAATTTTTTCATGTCAATTTATCTAAAAAGTTACCATTTTTCACATGGAAGTTGAGTACAGATCTATGGCCTCCGTTACTTGTGAGATTACATAGTTAAAGCAACTGCTACTCAACTTGACCATTTTTATTATTGAACTTGTTGTTCTTTATTATGATAATTAGATGGCTAAACACATTGTTACAAACTTTGGTTTTCATAAACATATAAAATATATTGAAATCAACTGTTACTTTGTCTGTGATTGTATTTAATGCAAGTTGATCGATTGTTATTTCATTTTTTCTTACAATCAATTGGCTGATGTGTTTACCAAAGTAGTAGAAACATGACAATTTCAATTCTTAATCAATAAGTTGGACATTCGCAATTCCATGCTCCAATTTGAGGGAGCATATTGTGACATACCAATATTCATGAAGTTAATTTAAGAAATTGTTATAGTGACAAAATATTATCTTAACGTTATTATGATATACCGACATTCATGGAGCTAATTCAGGAAATTGTTATAGTAATAAAATATTGTCTTTACCTCTACATTATTTATTTCTATTTTTATTTTTTTTCCTATTGTACCCTTTATGTAAATCTGTATAAGAATATATCATCCATTTCAATAAAATCATTCATTTGTGAAATATTAACACTTTCCTTCCTTTATGGTTAATTATTTTCAACTAAGCCTACCACCTAAAAGTCAAGCCAATAAGGTTAAACTATAGAGGAAAGCCATGAATAAAAAGTTCTCATTAGCAACCATACTTAGTCTTTAGTGGTAAAACCTCTAAATTGCAACTCAGTCGGAAACAAATTGGTTTCTTTATTAAATGACAATACTAAAGGTTATAAAACTCATCTTATAATAGAACGATTTAATTAAAAAGATAAGCTAATTATAATGAGGCTTATAGCTCATTTATTAAGTACATGACTATTCAACTAATTTCATATATTGTAGTATTTTCTCACTAGGATATTTAACAATTATATGTCTCAAATCTTTTCCTATGTGACCATATAGGAGAAGTATACAATGCACAACTTATTAGATTTATTAATACAATGTTTTTCAATCACATATTTCGTCTTCACAAAGCTTTTATAGTCTCAAACAAACCTAAGAGCTCGATTTACTCGCTTAAGTAAGTTTTTATAGAAACCTGATTTTATTACATCTAATATTGATTTTTTTTTTAATTTTAAAAAGGGTTTTTATTAAACTCTTTATTTTCATTAATGTTGATAATATTTTTATGGCAAGAAATTCGACATATACTATCAATACCTCTATCACCACTCTACGACATAAATTTTTTATCATCCATTTGGGCAAATTATACTATTTTCTTAAAATGAGGGTATTGTATGACAAATATGTGTTATATTCTCTTAGCACAAATATCTCTCTAAACTGAAAAAATAAAAACGACATATTCCCAAGATTATCTTACCTTCATGGTCATTATGCCCATTTTATTCAAAAAAGTTGGATATCAATCTTCAAATCCATAGTAATATGATAGGTGTTATGAGCTTTGCGATATGCCACTGTCACCAAATATGATATTGTATTTTTTGCCTATAAAATATGTCAATTCATTCATATTATAATAATAAATTGTAAAATGACTTATTCAATGTGTCAAACAAACATTATATTTTGGTATTCTGTTTGTACCCTTATTATTATCTCCACAATCATACTCTAACACGAGCTATGGTGGTTAATAATTGTTGCTATCTATTTATGGTTTAATCTTATTATTAATGTTTTTGTATTGAGATATTTGGTTACAATTCCTATTTCATGAAATTGGACTTTCTTTATCATCTCCTCATATAATATAGTGTGATAGTGTTAACATTATTTGTTTAAATTTTAATTCAATTTTTTATATAACAATACAATATTGAAACTAACTACTACTTTATTTATAAATAAGTTGCGCGTCACTATTGTAAGTTCATGTCATTTTTTCTGAAGTTCAGGTTGTTAACATTTTCATCACTCCATAAACTCACACTAAAAATAAGTGGAGATTTTATTTATCCGCCATTAACTTGATAAGAATTTCAAAACCATTATTCATAATACAATTAAATATATATTTATAATATAAATATTCAATTATAACATATACCTGTAAATAATGGCACGAGAAGAAATAGAAAACACTTTGATAAGACCTTTAAATCCCAGCCAAATTGAAGGAAGAACTGAAAAAACGCGGTTAGAGCTCCTCCACTAGGTGATCTCTTTTGTCATCTCTCTCGTTCACTGTCACTCACAGTATTCACCTCCCCACTCTCTCTCTTCACTCGTTTTCACGCTTCCCTTTCTCTCACTACCCATTTTGCTGCTTTCTCTCTCTGTAAAACCAGTAACCTCGGCTTGTTCGACAAACCCTAACACTCCAAATCCTTCATTTTTCGATTTACTCAAACGAAACCTCAATTTCAGAGCTCAGATCTACTCACCCATGCTCCGTTTCCAGCTATGAACCACTAAAACCCACACAACAATGTCAAGTTCAGATACTAAAAACCGGCCTAAACCGGGTCCATGGCCGCCGGCGCCAGAATCCGCAGCAATGCCGCCGTCTTCTTGGGCGAAGCGCACCGGCTTCCGACCTAAGTTCTCTGGGGAGACCAATGTCAGCAGTTCGGGTCAGATAAATACACCTGTCAGAACCAAAGAGCCCGATTCTCAACCGGATCTTGAGGTGGGTCAGGTCCGCCCAGCACCCGTGGCAAACGGCGAACCCGAAAGAGAGAAGGTTCAGCCACCGCCCGCTGATAAGGATCAGGCAGTGAAGCGGAGAAGAGACTCTGATGGAGGCCCGAAGGGCGCAAATCCGGCTGCTAATGGCCCTACTGGGCCTAATGGGTCGTCTGAACCAGTAAGAAGGACTGTGAGAAATGATGAAGTGGTGGATGTGTTGCCACAGAACGTGGAGGATGATGGGTTTGTGGGAAGACACTCTCATATGAAGTATGAGCTTAGAGATACCCCTGGTCTTGGTGGGTTTTTTCTTATCTTTTTTCCTCTGCTTGTTTATCAACGGTTGCTTAATTGTAGTGAGAATGAAAAGTTGAAAGTTTTCCCTTTTGGGTTGTTAACTCGAAATAAGCCTTCTGTCATATTTGTTCGCTATGAACTTGTTAGGTTCGCTGCTGTCAATAAGTGCTTTGATAGCGAAAGATGTTTATAGTATCAGTTTTTTAATTGATGAATCTCAGCTGGGTTAAGTTAGCTTCTTTTATGTGATTGTAGGATTTAGGAATGTTTAATTCTCGTGGTTTTTTGATTTTTTTTATGACACGTAGTCTTAGTTTAATAGAGCGAGTTTCTTTATTGGCTATGTGGATAACTTTCTAAAGCATGGTTTTTGGACATTTAGAAGGGATTTATGAAGCATGTTTACTTGTTGATATTCTAACTGGCTGTTTGTTTGTTTAACATTACAGTTCCTATTGGTCTCTACGGATTCCAGCATTATATTTCGATGTTGGGTTCCTTGGTTCTGATTCCCCTTGTCATTGTTCCGGCAATGGGAGGTTCTTATGTGAGTTATTTATTATTATTGTTATTATTATAATTTCTATTTCTTAACTGCTATTATTTATATTTTAATTAAAGATATTCAGTGGGTAGCTTGGTGTAATTGGATTTAGTGGATGTAGGAGGATGCTTCAAACGTGGTATCGACTGTGCTCTTTGTGTCGGGAATCACCACATTATTGCATACATCTTTTGGATCAAGGTTGCCTTTGATACAAGGTCCTTCATTTGTTTACCTGGCTCCAGCATTGGCAATAATTAACTCTCAAGAGTTTCAAGGACTGAATGGAAATGTATGTTCGTGCTCTTTAAATTCTTCAGTTATAGATAAAATTCATTCTTCGCACAGAATTTGTTATCACTGCATCACTTTAAATTGTTAACTTAGGTCCTTCAAAATGTTCTTAAAAAGTGTCCTCTTTTATATTTTTTATATATTGGGATAGAAAAGTTCTATATTAAGTAAATGAGTACGAATCAATTTTTTTTTTTTGGAAGTCATGAGGCCATATTAACTACAATAGCTAAATGATGGCTGGCAGTAATCAGTCTACTAATATTTCCTAAGAGATAATTTAGTTAGATGATTTCTTTTTCTTTAGAGGTAGTTAAAAAGCGCTATCCAAAGGTAGTTGTTGCTACTTTCTTTTGGTTTATTATGAGATAAAAATAGTTCGAATAGAAACTGTTACTAGAAAAATGGTGAAATGTCCGACATGTAGCTGTTATTGGTTGCAACCTAAGGAGCTCTTTTATATCTTGTTAAATGCACGATATGTTTTTCCATGCTAAAATTTCCCTTTTCTGAGATCAAGTTTCTTTTAGACTTGCTTGACGCTAGATCCACGTGTATGCAAAATTTGATGGGACAATGATCTTCTTCTGCCATAATGCATCTAATCTCTATGTATTACTGTGTGCAATCATCTTTTACTTCATTTGGTAATTTCTTTTATCCCAATGAGACCTGAGATACTTGCAATGAATTACTCTAACAAGAATGTCTTGAGTGTTCTCCTTGAGTCCCTTGAAATAGTCCTTTGGCACAAACTATCATACACAAAAGGCTAATAGCTTCTATAGTGGAGTCTAAGAAGTTTTGTTTGGATACACAGTTAATATAGTAGCCACCTTCTAGAAACATGTCTGATAAGCTGGAACAAGGATAAAGATAATGAGGGTACCTGCCTTTGGCTTATTGTCCAGGGTCCTCAGCCAGCCTGCAGGTTGTTTTTTCAAAAGAAAAGAAGAAAACTAAGTATATTCATGAAGCACCAAAGAGTGGTGCCCACAGGTTGTATTCTGGTAGGAATTTATATGTAACAGTAAGGGAAAGGATAAAGTTCATGAATTCTCAGATGTATTTGACATAGCTCCGTCTATACAACAAGAACTGATGAAGGGCTAGGAACTCATCCATTTTTTGAAGATAGGAACCCATCCATTTTAGTAGTGCTTAGTTTTGACTGTATTTTGGTTTGTTAGTTGGTGTACTTCTCTTTCACCCTGTTCTGGTTCTCTTTTTCTTTGGTCGTTAACTTTTACAGAATCAATTTTTTGGTTTCTGTTTTTGCCCGCTGCTAACTGAATATCTATTCTACTCAGTTATAAACATCATAAAATAATTGATCATATTTTAATGTCTCTGAAAATCCAAGGTGTAACCTTCTACCTCTTGGTTGTATCCATTGTCTTAGTGCTTCTTTTAGCACTTTCAACCTATGTTCTGTGAATTAGTAAGTGAAATGACTGCCCATTTCTTAGCATGAGATAAGAATTTATAAGATTTTTTCAAGTGCTTTGTGAGTGTTGTTGCTTCTAAGCTGCTTGTTTTACTTGGGACTATTTTTCTCACTAGTCTTCCTATATATGCTCTTTCTGTAGATATTCAAATGTTCTGTGCATTGTAAGGCTATCAGACTGTGATGGATTCAGCACTTATAATAGTAATTAAAATATTCTTTTTATTCCTTTGTTCTTTTGGAGGAAAAAATTAGCCACAATCAGGTTATTCTGATCTTTAGTTCTTTTTTCCCCCATTTAATATCTTGGCAATTTGACTAGAATATTAGGTTACAAATTTAACAACTTATGCGGGAAATTTAATGTGGCAGAATTTCAAGCATATTATGAAGGAGTTGCAGGGGGCTATTATTATAGCTTCAGCTTTTCAGGCAATACTTGGATATAGTGGACTGATGTCTGTGCTTCTGAGGTATGATTTTTACTTTCATTCATCTCCAAGTTGGAATTTCAGTATTTACTTTTACATGTTTGTCATTATGTTTCCTACCTACAAATCAATGAATTCTGGAAGCTTGAGGAGGTGAAGCTGCATCTGTTTTTGTCTTCCAGATTGAAAATCAGAATGGTAACAGGATCAATTTGGGTGGTACCCTTTTCCTGCCTCCTTTGGAGGCATTCCACGTATAATTCCCATAATTTTATCATTTATGATTATTTCATCAATCTTAGTCAAAGTTGTGGTTTGGGTATGTGTACTTGGTAGATACCTGTATTTGCTTTACTTGAAGAATAGAAAATAAAATAAGTCATTTCATAAATCCTACTCCAGGTTCAAGTATCACAACTTTTTTAATCTACTTTTACTAAATTTAGATACCTTTTCAACCAAGCACCATGCTTTCCTAACTCAACTCAAATTAAACTAAAATGAAAATTACCAATTTATTCCTTTGGACTATTGGATATCTTACAATTAAATCATATTTTTTTCCATTTCAATATGGTCCCCAAACGTGCAAAATTGTTTTCAGATGTGATTTCTTAATGAATTTTCTTTTTAATTACAAAAAAGATAGAAAAATTTTCTACCTTACCTAATGACACAAAAATAACTTTAAAAAAATATAATGCTTCTATTTAATGTGAATTATGACTAGATATTGTTAAAACATTCCAAAAGATGGTTTTCTTCTTTTATAATATCTGTTATTTTTATCTGCCTTAGTTCAAGTAGTTATTTTCATTAAATTTATTAAGGTTAATCCTTTTGTTGGTATAACTTTTAAGATCTAACGAACATATGGACTAAATAATAAGAATTTTTGTTATTTTCTGTTAAAATCTTCAGAGTTGGATAAAAAAATCATGGACTGAAATAATTTTATACATTTAGGAACGAAATCCTAATGAAAAAAACTGTTAGACCTAATTGTATCATGATTAATGATTCAGTGAATTAAATAGTAATTTGTCCTAAGCTAAATTATTAATTTACTATGATATGGATGATTATTATATTATTTAAAATAAGGATAAATATTATATTTTACTTTTTTATTTAAAATACTAATTTTGTTTTATAATGCTAATAGAACAAAAATAACCTGAAGTCATGTCTGTGGTAAAAAGCTATAAATTTTTAAGAACTGTTTTAGTTCATCCGGATGAACAATACTTTTAAACTCTATCCCCTCCAAAATAACAAAAAATGGATATAGAGATATTATTAGAAGCAACTGGTATTTGTTAAGTTGGATATCTCTCCACCTATCTCATTAGACAGGTAAGTGATATTTATACATGTACTTGTTCCGTCAAGTTTTATCTTATGTTGAAACCTCTCTCAATCTGACCTCCTAGTCACTTGATGAGATGATGTAGGACAAATTAGGGCTGATTTGCCTGCTTAGAGATCTAACAGTTAAATTTATTGGGGCATCCACTAGTTGGTGAGTGGGTCTATCTCAGCCGAGTTATTTTATGGGG